TTATTATTTCGAGAGCATCAATAACGAGAATATAATTTTCATTATGTGTATACACTGCCATATTAAAAAATCTATTGTCATATTATGAATCTTCGCACTGAACACTAGAATTATCATTTACAAAACCTAGTAGAATTGTTCTACAACTTGTATAAGATTGAATAGTTTCAATATATTTATCGCCTAGGAAAACATTTTTTTTAAATAAAAACAATTGTCGAGTGATTCTATACGACGATTAAGATAAATTTAGTATTTTTCTGTGAAACAGGATTTATTGTTGTCAATTAAAAATCTTTTATAGCAAATATCATAGTTTCTATTGTAATTTTAAGCATGATCTGATAGCTTCGAGAACAAATAAATAGTTGAATAATTGATTCTAGTTTGGAGAGAAACATTACATATCTATTTTAAATAAGATATTTTTAATCGAAAATAGTTTCTGTGCAAAAGACTTTTAAATAGCAAATCGACGTAAACTAAAATCTTATCAACAATATCATCTTTCCACGTTTTTCCAACAGAACAAAGTCGTTTACTATTCTTCTCCTTCCACCACTGATTTACCAGAGGAAGGAGGAAAGGGAAAAACTCTCTATTGACGTTTTATCCAAATTAACCCTTGAAAAAATGATTTTGAATATCTGTATCAATCCCTCAGAGCAAATCTCATTCGTACGTAGCTTCATCACGTAGCGCAGTCATATGTAACTTAAGTATTGTATTAGAATTGCGGAATTAAATGTGAAAATGTTTTTAACATCGACGAGTGAGATATTGACAAGTCAAAAAGAACCGAGCCTTCGTTGCTTTAATCGATTATAATGCATTTTTTAGAAGAATTAGCTTTATGCAGTCCATTTTAGAAAAGTCATATGTAGATTAACCGATCGAATTGAAAATCAACTATGGTGATTTTTATGAGTTAGGAAATTTTATCGACCCATACCAACATTTTTATTTAAAGAATTCTGTTGATTGTTAATTTAATTATTTATGTAATTCACTATCTCATCAACTGTACTGATAGCTTTAATGTATTCTTTCTGTTGTTTAACTAAAGTGACGTCTAGTTCTTCTACCAATATAGTTTTAAATACACCGATTTTTGAAAACATAAGATCCTCAGAATTTTCATGAAGTTTCGTTGTCACGTTCGAACAAATATTTTCTAATATTTCCGTTCTTTCAATCATTGCAAAAGAACACAGAATTTTGATGCGTACATATACAAGATGAACAAAAAATAATTTTATTTAGAAATATGCTGATCTGGTTCATTAGAAGCTTTATAGTAAGCTATGTTCGCAAGTGTTTGTTTTTTAAATTTTCGTTGAGTCCGATCAGCTTACATAAAGTAATATTATTACTAGTTAAGAAGTTTGAACCGAACGATAGTCTTAATTATCAATATATTCTGCATAATATGGCGTGGGTGTGGGTGTAAGGCGTGGGGTGTGGGTCGGGTGTGGATATTGGACCTTTTAACTCATACTAACGCCCACACCCACATCCACTCCTCACATATTCACTGTATTATAGACTTTGTCTAAAAGACTGTTAGAATTATAGACGAGACATTTTACTATATATTCATACAATAAATCTTTTGATATTAGATATTTTATAAAAGTTTAAACGTCGTGTTACGAACTTTTGGTCAGACCTAGTACTATTTGTTATGCAGTCTTGTTATAACGAAGAAAACTCAATGGCAATGACGTAAGCTTATATTTCCGATTGATTCCGAGTATCAAAGCAAAATAATCGAAAATTAAGATAATTCTGTAAAAAAGCCTCTTAATCTAGTTGGCATAACAAGTATACATTATTTTCAAACCAAATAGCTAATCATGCAGTTAAACTTAGCGTTATTATACAAAAACGAATACTTTTTTGTGTCTTTTTTGCTAATATAATAATACTCAGCTGTTGATGTGAAAGAAAAATGTGCTGTTAGTTAATTACTGTTGACACTCATAAGTGATCTTGCAATAATCAAAATTTGATTCTATAAGGATTCATATTATATCTATGAAGCTATATAAGAGATGATTTTAAATAAAACTCATTTAAGACTGGTATAAAATTTTTGAAATTTTCTTATAAAAGATTTCGATAACAGATAGAATTTGAAAACTTTTTATAAAAGAGTATTTTACTCATTTTTCTATAACAGATATAAATTTTCGTTCTTAACTTTCTTAATGACATGGGAATAATAAAGAATTGGTTCAATTTGATTAAAGAATGATTTTTCTTTTGTTGTACAACCTATAGCAGTGATCGCATTTACTTTACACATATGTATAGACAGGATCACTTCTTCGTAGAGTATGACACGGATTTAAAAGCTTTTGATCTGCTTTCTGTATTTCATTCGATACTAGTAGTGAAGATTTCACGTAATTAGATAAATTGCCTATACGCTAATCTAGTGCAATTGTTGGTGATGAAGTAAATTGAATTCAACTCTTACCTCTGCTCGATTCTTCATTTGCTTCTTTAAGCATTGTATTCCGACTTGTTTGTTCCGAGAAGATCAGTTGAATCAAAGTTTCATCATTATACAATAATTGTAGTTCTACCATATCATCTTCAGACATTTGACTATTGTAAAATTCTAGATGAGTTAGCGTATTAAGTTCTTTCGCAGCATAAACAAGTGCTTCGATGAGTTTGTGTGAAACAGTTGATCCAGAAATACAAAGACGCGAGAAAAATGCGTCATTTTTTAGTGATTTTATCAACTGGATTTCTTTCTGAGTCGATGGGCGTATACCTTGAACATGCAGACCTAAATACTTTATTGAATTGTGATGTCTCAATGTGTCCAAAAGATTGATGACAAAAGCTTCATCTTCGAAACCAGTCTCATCGATTAAATCTATTTCAACAAGTGTCCTATTTCTTTTTAACATTTCACAGAAATGTGATAATGTCGAGGATTCACACAATGAATGAAGAAGTCTTAGATTCTGTAGTATGTTAGTTTTCAAAGAAAATATAGTATTAAGCATTTCGATGTTATTGGCATGCTCTACTACAAGTCTTGTTACGATTTTGTTCGTTTCTAGGCATTGCTGAAGATCATGCTCATGGTAGAAAAAATTGACCGCAGAAAAATCTAATTTTTTGTATATCTTGTTTTGCTGCAAAATTCGAGTGAGCATTTGTGCATTTTCGTCTTGATCAATCTTACGAAAGCGAACTTTTATCAACTGATTATTCAACTGTATAACCATAGATCGGCAGATATACTTGACGGTCCCAAAGAAATTGCAAATACGAATATCGATCATGTTTAGACAACGAATCGAGGAGCGGTTGATTACAATGCTCAGCAATGTGTCGAGATCATCTGTATTGATCGAGCATTCTTGAAATACCAACTTTGTAATATTAAAACCTCTAGGAAGGGCATTACACAGCGTTTTAATATTTTTGCTGGTCAAATTCGCTTTACTCAACACAGCTTCGTTACTTTTGTCATCGAATTTACCTCCCATAGCCAAAAAGTCTTTTATATATTTACGCATTTCATTATTGAAACTAATGTTATTATAGTGTTCAAGACATGCCCAAAGAACAAATCCATGAACAGTAATTGCTCGATATAAGTTTCCCAGAGTACATTGATTGTCAGCAAGTTCCAGATATATCTCAAGTTCGCTTAGTTCCACTTCCTGAAGTGGAACTCCTCTTGATTGCTCTACATCAGCCATGGATGAACCGGGACGAGTTTGTTTATTATCAAATTTATTTATTAATGCTTCAACCAAGTTTAATTGCTGTTTTATAGTTTCCTTCTCTTCGGGAGTGTTAAATTCCGATGGCAATGCACTACCATTTTTTGAAAGGACAAAGCGTCCACTTGAAAGCATAATTCGAACGATATTTAGAGTTGTTCTTAAATATGGTGCATATTGCACAACAAAATCTCTTGGCATTCTAATCAAATAACCTTCATGAGGTGCGACATGCATTTGATTTGGTTCATGTGAGCATTCACATAGAAAGTAGAGTTTATAATGAATACGAAACCAATTTTGTTCATTACTGATGAACATCTTATCGCATTTTCTTGTCGGTAAAATGAAAAAGTAGCGAGGTATAGTAAAATTTTGTAATTGAGACATTTCCGTCATTATTTCTGTAACCTGATTTATCATTTCTTTCGTATTGATGTTGACCGAATGGGTTTTGTCTCCGATTGGATCTATAAATATATACAAATTATCATTATGAATACAATTTTCCATAGATTCAAGAACTTCGGAAACTAGGTTGGCGAAGTATGCTGCATTTATAATTTGAGGATGATATTTCTAATTAATTTCTACACAAGACTGATTTTTATTTCATCGATTTAACGAGATGATGTTCGAAAGTATTTTTAGAAATACATCGCTCGAGATATTGATTTATAGGGTATCAATATTTCTAGAGAGAACACCAAATACTTTATCAAAGCGAGAAAAAGAAGAAGCACAAAGAGTCTGAACATAACACTTAGTGAATGTCACGTTATATCGACATGAATCACTTAAAAGCTGAAGCACCTGAAACTATATAAATGCGTTAAATACATCAATAAACGAAAATGAGATGGATAATGTATTTAGGACCATTCTGGTTAATGAACTATACCTTTAAATAGCCACGCATTAGAAAACTTTCGAATAAATGTTAATAATCCTGGAATTTTTAGTCTTCATTATTGTATTCAATGAAAGAAAATAAAGAATACTCGAATGAGTTCCGCATGATTTACTAATAGTGAGGAAAAGCCTTATCGAGCTCAATATTCTTATTATTATATGGATTAAACAGTAGAGTAGATGACGATAAACGGTTCTATCAATTCTTTTTTTTTAACCGCCAGCTTTTTCAGTCATCTAATATGACTCCGTATAAAGACAAGGGCAGTATTAATTTCGACTTTATGCAATAAAATAGCAACGATTAATTACGAAATATATCGAAAATAGTCTATTTTAATAAACTAACTTACTAATATTCGTGCTTAATTCTGATGGATGTTCATTCTTGAATTTGAGAGCCTTTTTACGCCATTGAACACTACTGTTATAGTCTTTTGCGTGAGCTGCGAGTTTGGCAAGGTCTTCATATAGATCACCGCGTAAATGGACATCTGGTGGAAGTTGGTCCAACAAACGAATAAAGTATTTTTCAGCCATATCTAATTGCCCCATATCCCACAATAGTTTTCCTAGCATTTGAAGGTTTGTATCTCCATTACCTAGCTGCTGTGTCATATACATGAGAACTTCTTGTAAATCGTGTTCATTTTCACTACATAGAGTCATTTCAATGATCCATATTTGATCTTTAGCACTGCGATTGACGCTGTTTAAGCGAAAGATTGAACCGATCATAAAGAGTATTTCTGATTCGCCCGGAAATTCACTGAGTGTCCTGATGTCGGCGAATGGTTTTGTCGTAGCTGCTTTCGGATTAGCGACAATATCGAATAGGACTTTTTCTAAATTCTCTGAAGTATTAGGAGCATTAAGAAAAGAACGTGCTCGTTCATCATTAGTACTGGTGGAAAAAAATGAATTTACAGAAATAAACTGACCACAACTATTCTGTAGAGTGTTCAGTTCTTCAATGGATATCATTTGTCCTCGATAAACTCGTAGAGGTTCCTCAGCTTGATGAGTTTTCAATTGACATTGAATATCAAAGATATACGTACGAAATAAAAATATCATATGGATATTTTCTGTACGTAGAACGGCATTAAGCGCCTTGTAAAAGAATGTATCTCGTGTATACCACCAAACAGCTTGATCAGATGAATACTTTTTTCGAAACTCTTGAATATTGCTCAATTCAAAACGATTATCTTCATATGCTTGTTTCAAAATTTGAATAAGCTCTTTCGTATCTTCTGGAGTAATTTTAAGTCGTAGAAGACAATCGATAAGCACTTGGGAATAGACAAATTTCCCATTGACATCGTCTGTCGATTTGCCTGCCGTAAAAATATTGATGGATAATGGTTGTTCAATAACTTTTTGAATTTTATGATCAACTTCGATTCGAGAAATAAGTTTATCGAGTTCAGTAACAACATCTTTGACCTATGAAAACAAAAATCAAACATAATAAATAAAATTGAAATCATTCATAATAATTTTGTTACCTTTGTATATTTTTTAGACCATTCTCTGTTACCTGCCTCATCCATGCAATATACGTAGATTGATATAACTTGCCGAACATTATGAATTGTTGGGACAATCTTTCGTCCTAAGCGGCTATTGACAATAATAATTAGTCTATCTTCTGCAGATCGTGCACTAATATACTGCTGACATCGTTCTATATCCTTGAACCGTTTGAGGCGGTTAATAATAGAGCGTAATTTCTGTTCTGTATCTCGATCATCACTGGCTTGCACATTATCATCCAGCCAAATAATGCAGAAAATTTCAAGCTGTTGATCATCTGCATTTGTAAGAAGGTCACCGTAAGATACAGGAGTAGAACTAGCCATCTTGAAATCAAAATTTCTCGGTAGAATATATGTAGAAGTCTCAAACGTTGTTACTTAGGTTTAATAATTTAATGTGAAGGTATCTTTTCAAAATCTAAAGCAAATGCTTAACATTCACTATCATTGTTTTATACAGCACAGGTCAAAATTATAAAAAAAAAAGAATTTTGTTATTTGTTATACTAAAGACACATCGGTTCGATCCAAAAGTTATATATACAGTCGCAGGATCTCGTGTCGAACAGTTTCATTACAAACACTTTTAAAAATAACTTATACTGAGATTTAAAACTGCATATAATTGACTAGGATGTGGGGTGTGTGGATTGAGTGTAGGTGTAAGCAGGAGCCGCGCGAGCGGGGGGGGGGTGTGGGGGAGTGTACACCCCCCCAATAATTGAAAATTTTTGTTTTTTTTTGAGCGACGGGAGCAGATTTGGAACAAATTTTGTGTTTTTTTTAAGAAATTTTGCTCTAAATACCCTTTTACACCCCCCCAAAAATTTTTACACCCTATCAAAACCCGCTACACCCCCCAATCTTAGACCTTTCGCGCGGCCCCTGGATGTAAGTATTCCTGTTGATGTGGGTCTGAATGAGTGTTTGTTGTAAGGTGTTGATATGGATGGATGTCCGTTGTAGGGTGTGGGAGTGAGCGTGGATGATAGAAAAGCAAGGGGGAAACGGCGTACTCCCTGTGCTGCCGGTGCTCGGGAGTACGCAGAGTACCGAGAGCGCAGGGAGTACGACGGGAGTACATGGTGTACAACAGGAGTACATCGAATGTAATATAAAATGGGCTTAGTAATTATTGAAAAACAGACTTGAAATTTTTGAAACACGATCTAAACGAAGTGTTGAGTCAATGGAAAAGGAGATTGTCGGATCTTGGAATTCTATGGATCCTCGATACGAATATTCTTTTGACTGTAGTTAGGGTCCTAATCTCGAATTTGAATGTGTGTTTGTATGCTTATTTGTTTCTCTGCAAGGTACTGCTTTGAACCTACCTCAGAGCAAAACAAATTCTTAGGGTATCCTGGGTTCTCAATCCCTGTATTTTGAAGGTATCCCTAGGTCGTCAAGTCCTATATTTTGGAGGTACCTTCAGGTCCTCAAGTCCTATTATATAGAGGTACTCATTGGTCCTCAAGGACTATCCTATGGGGACTCATAGATCCTGAAGGGCTACCCTATGAAGGTACTTATAGGTCCTCAAGGACTATTCTATAGGGGCACCTATAGGTCTTCAAGTCCTATTATACAGGGTACTCATATGTCCTCAAAACTATCCCATGGGATACCCTTAGGTCGTCAAGGGCTATCCTATGGGGGTACCTATAGGTCTTCAAGTCCTATTATATAAGAGTGCTCTTAAGCTCTCAAATCTTATTATATAAGGGTATCGACAGAATAGGCCTTGAGGACCTATAGGTACCTCACACAGGGTGTAGGTGTGAGTAAAATGTACACACACAGCCAATCCCACACCCCACACCCACACACGTACCCTAGGAGCACCTTCATAATATGGGACTTGATGACATAAGGGTATCCTTATAATATGGGACTTGAGGACCTAAAAGTGTTCCCGAAATATAGGACTCGAGGATCTAAGGGTACCTCCATGTAATAGCTCTTAAGGCTCTAAGGGTACCCTAATATTATAGTTCTTGAGGACCTAAGGGTACCTTCATACAGTACCAATACCAATACCATACCGGTCAATACCAGTCAATACC